CTGTGGCAAACGCCGTTCCCAGGTAAGTCGGCGGATATAATCACCTTTGCAAGCACCACCGCTCTTGGTAGATATTGGAAGTTAAATGTAGCGGCCCGCAAATCAAGACACACAAACAAACGTAACCATTCTCCCAGCTGTTAGCAAGCCGGTGTATTGTTCGTCGTCACCTACACCGGCCAGGGAGGCCGAGCCAGCGGGCTTCACTGCGGCTGCCAGGCTGTGTCCTGACCTCACCTGAAACCTCAGGCTGGTCAAGTAACCGGGTTCCCGTGGGGATGAGGTGCAGGGCGCCTGATGAGAGAACAAAGGCGGCGCGGCCCTAGTTACATATTTGTTACATATCAGTGTTGTTAGAATATATAATAGTGTTTACCTGTGTAAACAGTTTGAATTACAATTAATTTGTTGTTTTTTTATGCTAATATTCATATAATGTCTAAAATATAACTAAAAAATTGCCCTAATAGTCCTTGCCGGTTTGGCTCAGTGGACAGAGCGCCGGCCTGTGGACTGAAGGGTCCGGGGTTTCGATTCCAGTCAAGGGCATATGCCCGGGGTTGCAGGCTCAGTCCCCAGTGGGGGGCATGCGGGAGGCAGCTGATCAATGATTCTCTCTCATCATTGATGTTTCTCTCCCTCTCCCTTCCTCTCTGAAGTCAATAACAATATATTTAAATAAATAAATAAAAATAAATAAATAAAACTACAGTATAGGAGCAGAGGTGTAAAAAAGGGGAGGTGAGAGGAGTTGAAAGGAGAATGAAAAGGCAGGATAAGGCTGGACGGAACAACCAGATCACTGCATGCGACCCAAAAGCAATGAGCAGCTAACGTCTTCCGGGCTATCTTAACCCCGATATCTATAACCAGGTCACTGGAGCTGTATACATACTCTACTAACTGTCCTGGGCGCTGACAGGCAAATTCGGGGGAGTGGACGCTATGAGCAAACTGAGCCTGTCAAATGCAAAGGCTTCCTTTTCCCCCTGTTGTTGTCAGATCTAACTACAAAGCAATGTGTGTGTAGCCGGGCAGTGGTTCTCAACCTTCTGGCCCTTTAAATACAGTTCCTCATGTTGTGACCCAACCATAAAATTAGTTTCGTTGCTACTTCCTAACTGTCATGTTGCTACTGTTATGAATCGTCATGTATCTGATATGCAGGATGGTCTTAGGCGACCCCTGTGAAAGGGTCGTTCGACCGCCAACGGGATCGGAACAAAAAACGGGGGGGGGGGGGGGGATATACAGACTAGAGCCACTGTGGCAAACGCCGTTCCCAGGTAAGTCGGCGGATATAATCACCTTTGCAAGCACCACCGCTCTTGGTAGATATTGGAAGTTAAATGTAGCGGCCCGCAAATCAAGACACACAAACAAACGTAACCATTCTCCCAGCTGTTAGCAAGCCGGTGTATTGTTCGTCGTCACCTACACCGGCCAGGGAGGCCGAGCCAGCGGGCTTCACTGCGGCTGCCAGGCTGTGTCCTGACCTCACCTGAAACCTCAGGCTGGTCAAGTAACCGGGTTCCCGTGGGGATGAGGTGCAGGGCGCCTGATGAGAGAACAAAGGCGGCGCGGCCC